CAGTTTTTATGTCATCGCTTTGAACTAATTTCTAGTTTCAGCAGGAAATTTACAAATCGCACAAYTACTTATTTAATTAAGGACACTTAGCTGAATCGATACCTTACTTTAGTTCTTACTTTCATCTGTTGAGATTCTTCCTCGCTACATTACTGACATCAAAAGATCTAGTTCATTTTGAAATTTAGATAGACCATTGTCAAATAGCGTACTTTTGATAAGTTTTCCTGCATTAATTGGCTATTGTATGTCATCAGTCTTTGRACTGAGGTATATATCATGAATTCGCCTGTTTGAGTATAGTTTCTCATCCACCCTCCTTTACATCGGAAGGTCGTGGGTGCCTTTCCCACTTGCGTCTCGAATTTTTCCAMGTTGTTCCACTTTGCACGTCTTAAGTGCATTACTGCGCATGTTTTTATTTTTTTGTCAATTGTTGTCAATTTTTTGTGGCTTGTTTTAACTTTCCCTGTAGTTTGTTTATCAGTTTCCCATTATSTTTTATCTTTATTCTATAAGGGATTTCMTTTCTTTCTCTCATTTCTTTCTTACGTCGTTTTTTTCGTTTTTCATCATAACTGTCATGTGRAAACCATACAGTACTATATTTCCACTTGCACTCCACATAGAGCAATCCTTTTTAAATTGACTTTAATTAAGTGYCATTTCAAAAATAATTTTGYTTGGACGTCAGAGGATATTTCTTTATGAGTTTATTCTTGAATAACGGATCAGTTTACACTGAACAGCTTTTATATAAAGTTTGTTTAACAGTTCACCGTACAGAAACACTTCAATCTGTTTTAAGGTAAGACTAGACGATCATAGATCGCTTACGCGGGCTTCTTTGTTTGAAATAGTTCAAGACAGAATTAAGTATTTTACATCTTTATTACATCTTGATTTTTTTTTACCGAACTGAACTAAGTACTACTACAGCGCTTGGTTTTGTCATACAATTTACATTCATGGCTTATAAACAAACCAGCTGATCACAGTGAAGCCGTAGATATCGCGATCAGGCCACGGGGCCGAATGACGTACAAATACATGCCAAAAATGAAAACAAAGCGCGGATTGATTTGAAAACCCCATGTAAACTGGGANTTATGGCAACGTGGTTTTTACCTTCTATTGCCAATTGTCTTTCCTACTATTTAGAGTATATGCCTTACAATCAAGTCTAAAACAATAACACGAGTTAAGTTTCTTATTTTCAGATTAATCGTCGCAAAAAATGAAAGGTCTCTTTCTTACGATGTGTTTAATATTCTCTTTTACAATTCTTCAGGCCAAACAAGGTAAAATTATTCATTTGTACCATCAAACTATTACAAGCATCGGAAAGGTCCGAATCGCAATTTATATTAATAAATGTGACCAGCGATTCTGAAACCATGAAAAATTAATCAATTTTATTCATTCATTTACTTACAGAAACAAACGACTTTTTTGAAGAACAACGAACACCAGAAAAATTAGAAAGGCCGAATCATAGTGCATTTATATTCCCCCTCTCAAAGAAAGTTATCAGTYCACAGAGATGGGGTGGCCCTATTGGGAAGAGAGTGAGCAAAAGTAGGGCCAAGCAAATGTTTGAGCAAAGGCATCAGTTGAAACMGCTTTTAAATTGATCTAATAATTTGAGGTAATAATAAACACAATAAACCAGATTATTCTTCAACWAAGCGTGTTAGTGTATACTAAGGAGGGTTTTGGGAAGTCTGCTCAAGCCTCTGTTAAACTGTGCAATAGCAACTGGTCCGCAAAACCCCGTTGCACTCTACACCAGTTCCTGAAAAAATTGCACAATCTAACAGGGATCGTCTCGCGATATTTTTCGTTGCGTCTAGCGATGCACAAGGTAGAACTCAGGTCTTGTAACACGTTGCAGTAACTTGCAATGAACACTCCTCCAGCAACTTTCTCGCATTTTTCACTTACACGTTGTTAGAGCATGAGCAAATTTTAATTTCGAATGTGTATCTTCTTCTCCATATTACAAGTTGCTGAGAAAAATTGTTAAGTGTACCAAGTCTATAATTTTCGGCGCAAATTGTGTTGAAACGGCGTCGAAAGATAAGTTCCTGACAAATCAAAAATCAGCGAAAGRAAAGAACAAATGCGCAAGGTTTTATGTCTTTTTGTTATCGGCGCGAGCTCTTAGCAAAATGCGGATTACCTGTGGTGTTACATCACGATCCCTTGACTCGCGGGTCTACAG